CCACCACCGCTGCAGCTCCTCGGCCAACAGAAGACTTATTCACCTGGCCTCGCTCGCTCTTTTTCCTCTCCGTCTGTCTTCTTGCAAATTTTTACATTTATGCATGCAAATGGGGGCTGTTCCCCTTAAGCCAACAGTAACTTCCTGGTGCCAGGAGAAGAATGACAGTCTTGTCCAAAAGTGCGACGGCGAGTTCAGAAAGACGGGGCTTCATGAGGAGGAGGAGGAGGAGATGGCATGTTACCGTTGGATGCTGTACATTTTATTTAGGGTTGTCTTCCGAGGCGTTTGTGCAAACCTATCGAAGAATTTAATTTGTTCTACAGGGAAATCTAGTGGCATTTACAGGTGTGTTTAAGTCGGGCATTTGCTTGTGTTTAAGTATATTTAAAGTCCTCCTTCTTTTAGCTGTGGCAGCTCCAGCAGTGGTCTCATGTGCAACTTGTGGAAACTCCACCACACGTAAAGACCTTTAAAACGAGTGATTTCTTCATATTCATAAATTTAACTTTTTGTGCTGGGAAAAAAAACTACATCAGACAAATTGTAAATCCAAAAGTATTTTTATATAATCTTTAACTTCTGACTGACAACGTCGGCCTCGATACAGAGGCAGGGATACTGTATATCGGATGTTTTTGGGAGATCGCTTTCTGTCGGGGGTGTCGGGTGATTGGCCATAAAGAGAGCATAATTTGATATGAAAACAGAAACATTCTTCTCGAAGGACACAAAAAAAAAACGTGGATGATGAAAGAGAAGTGATTAGAACAAACTACAATTATATAGAATTAAAACCACAGTAATTAGACTTTACTGTTTGTGGTTTAACCCCAATTTCTGGACATTTTTCTTTGCTCCTGTCGCGTTTTTTACTCACTGTGGGCTCATTTTTCACTGCAATGTAAAGTCCTGCACCTCGATGGAAACAGCACGACCATGAATAGAATATTAAAGGTGATTTGTTTTCAAATTATTTATCTTAAAAGAATTGGAAAAAAAATGTAGAATCACCATATACAACATTTTTCCTTTTGCCCACAGGTGTTCCCAATACTGGAAAGAACACTATGCATGCTATAGATATTTTCACACTTTTTATTTCTCTCTGTACTTTCTATACACAGCCTGCAATTCAGCTGAAAACTCTGAATTTTTGTCATGTGACTGTTGGACATAGCTAAGTTGGTACTGGCTTCACATTTGCACCAAGGACTGCAGAATTTTGCTTCCTGCAAAGTTAATTTTTAGACGAGACAGAATAAAATTTGATTGAATATCTCTATTTTAAGTACAGAAGTTTGTTGATGTCACGGCACGGCACATCAGAGTTTTATAAAATCAATGCTTCTTTTTGTTTTTACACTTACTGGCTTCGATAAATGGCAAAAACTGAGTGATTCGATTGGTTTAGGGGGTTCAGAGTTAGTAATCCTGCTGCATTTAGGGATGCTCTGAATAGGTGATCACATCAGTGCAAGGCCGTGGCCGTCGTCTTGCTTCGGACTCATTTTCCCCATCGCTAAACGGGAGCCGAACGCGAGGAATATGTTCTTGTTGCTCTTGCTGCGATGGGCTTATTGAGACCTCCGTATATACGAGTGCCTTCTGCCTGCCAGAGTCTTTCAAAGCCCTCCCTTAAGAGAGTTGAAGATGGATGTGGGGAAGTGTGTGTGGTGTGTTTGGGTGCACACAGAGTGAGCCCCAGTGGACAAATAACGACAGAGAGAGATAGACGCAAACACAGAGAAAGAGAGTGAAGCACTTTAAATGTGAGCGCTCGCAAAACTCCCACTGCTCGCAAGGGCACTTCGCTCCTGCACGTCATCTCTCTTTTTCTGCCCCTCTCTCCTTCTCCCCTTCTTTCTCCCCCCTTTTTTTTTCCATTCCCCTCTCGATTCCCCTCTTTTCCCTCCCTCCCTCCATCGCTTTCTCCTTTGTCTCCAAGCTCTCACCCTCTATCCCCTATCTATCCATCTCCCTCTTCCACCCTCTCCCCCTCTTTCTCTCCCCTTCCTCTCACTAAAACAGTAGGACGCTTAACCTTGATAACAGTGAGATTTTTTCCCCCCTCAAAGTGACACACACACACACACACACACACACACACACACACACACACACACACTGGAGAAGTGCTTTGCCAGCATGCCAGGCCGGTCCAAGGGACGGCTGTACCCTTCGAGGTGAACAGGACACTGGGAAATGCAGCAACAACAAAACACTCACACACATACACCAACGCACACGGACTCGATCTCTCGAACAACAACACACACACACACACACACACACACACACATCCAGCTCACTCCAGGTCCTTCTTAACACAAGCCTTTTAAAGGTCTTTTGTCAGCTGACATTGAGAGAGCGCTGGCGATCCTGAAACGTTTCACACACACACATACGAGAAAGGTGGCAAAAGGAGAAGTGTGAAAAATGAAACGTATTAAAGGTGAAGTTGCCTGCTGAGAATTTATGATCACAATGCACTGGAAGACACACACACATAAACACCTCACCGCGGATGATAGGTAAATGAGGACGGGGAAGTAGAAATGTGTTTTGTTTTTTTTTTGTTTCAAAAGCACACCCGCCCACACACACACAAACACGAGAGAGGAAATTAGAGGTGAGGAAGAGGCAAAATAAGCAAGACTTCTTCCTCATTACGCCGCAGTTCCTCACAGGTCTTTGAAAAACAAAACTGAAAAACGTGAAATTTGGAATTTTTCAGGTGAAATTGTTCGACTAAAATCCCCCTTCGTCTGAGGAAGGCCTAGAAATGTACCAACGTGTGTTGTTGTGTCGCAGGATGCGCGAGAGACCGGAGAACGGTCGCAGGGAGACGGTGTCAGCGAGGACACGGTGAGACGGTGTCACACTACCCGTCTGCATCACCAGGTATCGGGTGAAATTTATCGTTTTTTTTCTTTTCATGCATTCGCTCACAGCTCTTCCTCGCGCTTTTGCAACTTCACCGAGCTGCTCAGACTGTTTACCTCGAAGTCGTTGGCCTTGTTGTAGTGCATGTTGAGGGCTCGGAAGAGCTCGCAGTCGCGGCTGACGCTCAGCTCCTCGGCTCCCGTGACGCCGTCGTTTATGGACTGGCGGGCGAACTTCTCCATCTGGATGTAGTAGAACTCCCTGAAGTTGCTGAACCACTTGATCAGCTGGGAGGTTATGCAGCGGTTAAACTGGAATCAGAGACAGAGGAGGTGTTTAATATCGCAGTTTTTATTCCTGAATTATCACTTGAAATCCAGTCATTTCGAGCGCTCGCTTCACGCTTATGGAGAGAAGATTGTCATGTCTAAACCCTTCCTAAGCCACTGGATTAGAGGAGAGGAGAGGAGGAGAAGTGTAAAGATGTCAGATTCACATCAGGGAGCCGCTACAGGAAGAAGAAAAAAAAAAGGACAGGAGAACAGTGGTAGTGGAGCGAGGGGAAGATAATAGAGATATTAAGTAAGACAGCAGGCAGGAAGGAGGCGGGTGAGGGGGGGGAGAGGAAAGAGAGAGTGGGAGAGCGAGTGTGTGTGGTTCATCTTCCCCACTGGGAGCAGACCTCCCCCCTATCATAACCCTGAGAGTGGAGGGAGAGGTGGGAGAGAGGGGGTGAGACCGCAAACACATAATTGACCAGAAAAACGATTAAGTCATCATCTGAAGCGCCCCGGCCCGCAGGGGGCTCAAACATGTACTTAACCCCGTTCACCAATTACACCCCGATTCTCCTCCCCTCGCCGCACCTCCCACGCAGGGAAGAAAGCAGAAGAAAAAGAGCAAAAGAAGGAAAAAGAAGATGATAAGCGCTGTGGAGAAGGCTGTGGCTATCTGATCTGTGCCGCTCGGCTGGATTCAATAGGGCGAGGTAAACCTATTAAGAGCCTCGGCTGGTCCCAGCTCCTTTTTTTTTTTTTTTTTTCTCCTTTCCCCCCCCTTGCCTGGTCTCAGCAGTGAAAACACACTGTCCAAACATCCATACAACTAGATAAGGATAGCCGCCTAGCCTTTAAAAATGCTCCCTTGAAAGTGCGAATCGAACCCCCTAACGACACTTTTCCTCGTCGAAATGACTCAAAATTCTGGCTCCTGAAAGCTGCCCGACCATCACCCCCACACCCTCGTTCACACACATTAGGCCTTCACTCCTCCCTCCCCTCTGCTCTTTCTGTGGCGCCTGAAGAATGGGGGGACAAAACGCTACTAAACGCTGAGCGGACTGCTCGCTGGGGAGGCAGAGCGGTTTTGACATGGAGATTAGACTCTGGCCATTGTTCGACAACACAGACCCACACACTCTTCGTGATCTGGGATGGCAGTCCAACACACGCAAGCACATGAAGACGGGGAAGGCGGTGAGGTAACGGAGCGGAGCGGGCGGGCAGGAAAGTTGGGGCGAATCAGGGGAGGCGTTTGGCCCAAGGTAGGACTCTGGCTAAAAGGAGTGGGCCGTGCCTTTTCTGGAATGATCAGCGGATGACATAATGGCGGAGTGGGGGAAAGAATAAGTCCGCTTGACATTGTTTGGCAGCGGTTTGGGAGGGTGGTGGTGGTGGTGGTAGTGGTGGGGGGAGGAGGGGGTTAGCATGGTGGCTGTCCTAAAGTGCAGGGTGAGCATAAATGGGGAAAAGAGGGAGGGAGGAGGATGGGTGCAGGTCAGCAGCGCCGTCGGACAATGGCGTTTGGCCGGTGGGGAGGGTGGGGTAGAGGGTCGGAACGTGAGCAGTCAGCAAGCTGGGGTCGTGACATCGGAGTGTCAAACAAACAAACTACTGACACTTACAAATACATCGGCTGCACGGGGCTATTCTTAAACACACACAATGCAGCAGACAGTAGGAGTGTGACAGAGCACAAACACGCCGCTCCGGCCCAAGTTGCAGCCGTCCTCCTGTGAATTTTGGACATTAGCGAATTGGTCCTCGCAAGCGCGCGCGCACTGAGCGCGTGCAAGACGGGGAGCGCTACATACTGAGATTAAAGTCAGCCAAAGAGTTGCCATCGCTCATGCGGGAGACCTTTGGTGTCACTACAGCCGAGTGACGGAGACATTTGTCACTTTGGACAAAGATTACTTTATTATCCCCGACAGCTTGGGAGAAGATGTATGAGGGCCCTGCATGTGCAACTTCACTGTTAGCTTAAAACAGAAAAGATACGATATTTGCTGTGAGCGCGTGTAAATACACTAAATTATGTTACATCCGCATTAACTGCAATCAGCGCACTCTGGGATTCAATTTTGGCAAGTCCCCCTACAGCTTCCAGCAGTCTTGGTTCATTAAGTTGCTGGTGGGGGGACAAGAGACCCCCTGATAGCAGCTAAGGACGAGTGTGTTCAGTGTAAAAGGAGGGAATCGGTTCAAAGGAGCACATCACTGCAGCTCCTTAATCAGAGCTGGCAGGGGTCAGCCAGCACAGACATGAGATGCAGTGAGGAAAACGTGTGTGTGTGAGTGTGTGTGTGTGTGTGTGAGTCGACACACTGTGTTTGAGAATATCTGTGTGTGTGTGTGTGTGTGTGTGTGTGCGCCTGGCTGAGAGGCAGTTGAGAGAGAGACAGTGAAAGCATGTTTCTCACACTCACACTCAAGAGCCTGTGAAAGGTCAGCGCTTAGTGCTAACAGCACAAGATAGAAAGTGGCGCACACACACACACACACACACACATGAACACACACACATAAACACACATGTTCTGCTCATGCACAGACACATACTTAAGTCCAGAATTGGAAAACACTAAAGTACGCTTTCGTCTAAACTATATTAGCTGCCGGGGCCCAAATTATTCAGGTGTTTTGACTGTCAGTCCCAAACTTGTGCACTTGGGTGAATATGTTATTAGTGAAGCTGGTGTGCGGTTGGTGAGGATGTTCAGCTGAAAGGCATTTGGATGAAAAGCCAAACTGTGTCTCTCGCCAACACTTTCTCTGACATAGTGGTCAACAATGGAGGCAGAAAGCACACAGATGACCTCAGAGTGCTAAGCTACATCCAGAACAACCGGAGAGGAGAGCAGAAAGACAGAGAAGCCTGTGCGGGCCTCCCTCTCTTTCTCCCTCTCTCTCTCGTAAGCCCCTTCACAGTCATCAGGGCTTTCCAACGTTTCCTGTTTTCGCAGGAGTGAATTGTGGGAGATAATCTCTGGCTGCCTATTGGCTGACTGCACACAAAAAGCGGCCCTGGAAAGCGGGCTTTTGTTACTGCGGCGACTCAAAATCCAGCCGCTGGCTTTTCTTTCTCCCCGGCCCCGCCGAGGCACACATACCATGCCACACCATCAGCGAAAAAAAAGAAAAGAGAAGGAATGACATATAGAAAAGGGAAAACCCTCCTGACCTCTGCTACTCCACAGCACATGACTGGCCCAAATACTGAGGCTGGTAGCCACAGAGAGACAGACAAAAAAACAAGGTGTGTGTGTGTGTGTGTGTGTGTGTGTGAGTGTGTGTGTGTGTGTGTTAAAGTGAAGGGAAAATGTATGAATATATTTATACAGTAAACCTGTATCTCTTTACAAAGGCAAGAACTTTTGCTGACTTTATTAATTGACTGAATATGTTTATCTAATCTGTTAATTAATCTGTTATAATTATTCAGCCTTCATCCACGGCACTAATGAGACGTCTTAAAGCTAGTGGAGTGGTATTATAGGCCGTCATTAACATGGCCAACAATGGTATTATGATGCATCTGTCAAAACATTTCCAAAACACCAAAAGTCACAAAAAAGTCACGATTGTCTTAAAAGAAGCTTAATGAAGGGGAACAACAGCCACAGCGTCCCTCAGTTGTTAGGGCAACCCACTTCCCACGTTCATTAGGTCCTTGACAGTCCAGACCTGATTAGTCAAGACCCGATTAGCCTTAAAGACTTTTGTCTGAGGACAGCCACTCGCTAAGAGGCCATGCTGGCTGAATCTAATTAGATAGTCCGTCTCATTCCCATACATGTCTGCTAACTTACATCTTGAGTCCATTGTCCTCCACCGAAAACATAAACAAACCAGTGTCACTCATAATCCCCTTAACTATCTTGACCTTGTTTAAGTATCTGATGAGGCCGTTCACGATGAGGCCACCTCCATGGTGCTGATTGGTCAGTGAAGCAAACTGGTGACGACCATTCATATTAATTGTCGCTGGAAATGTTCAACAACCAAAATTACGTGAAATCATGTCGTAGTGTTAAGGATGTATTTTTTAAAATTAAATGAATAATTCGTTTACAGGTGGCACTTTGCTGAGGATCTTTTTCGATCCCCAGTGAGAGTCATGAGAGCCGCGGTGGCTGCAGACAAGAGGGGCAGCTGGGAGAAAAGGGAAACCTTTATCTTCTGATTTGAATAAGATGGCCTGGATCTGTCATAGTGTTTACCCCTCCGTATGGTCCAAGAGGGGCACACAAAACAACAACAACAACAACAAACTCAATCGTGACAACGGCCATTGTGTTGTTGGTCTCGTTTTTTTTTTTTTTCCCCCCTCGGCTTACATATTGTGCTTTGTTTTCCAAAATTTCCTTCATTAAACTCCGAGCGGAGCCAATGCTCATCCTTGCCATGTTCCCTAAATCGGCTCTTTCCCTTCGCCCCTCCCTCCATCCAACCATCCTCCCTACACCTGCTGGTGTAACCACTCCTCCGTCTCCAGGCTCCATCCTCCTCTCTGCCCTCTCCACCCCTCCATTACTCATCCCACTCTTTATCTTTAGAATACTCATAGGCTCTCCAGCTCCCTCATGTAAACCCATTCAACTTCCTCTTCTTTCATCTTTTGCATAAAACCATAAGTTAGCGAGGGAAAGGACCTCGTTTCAAGGCAGACAAGTGTACATTGTTCACCACAACTGAAGCTGGCATATCGCAATTATTAAATCAAACTTCCCCTTTTCAAACGTGTGTGTGTGTTGAAATAAACGTGAGAATGACACAACAACAAAGGTGAACGCTGAAAACACCAGAGCAGACGCAGTAATGTTTGGACTCACCTTGACATCAGAGAAAAACATCTTGAGCATGTTGGAGCTCGGGTAGCGGGTGTAGAAAAACATGAGCTTGGCCTTCTTCAGGTGATTCGGGGAGAGACCTTCTTGGATCTGAAAGTAGCTGCCGTTAAGGACATTAACAGTTGTCTGGAAGGAAACAATACAAGAAGTACACATATAGCAGGTACAGATATTATCACAAATGTGGACCTGCTTTATAATGGGCTGTAAGTTTGGCAAGAAATAATCCTGCAGATGACGGCAAACCAAATTTCCTTTTAGGCATGAATGCAAGGCTGCTGGAGGGTGGGGGCTGAAGACGGTGCACCAAAGCGAAACCATTTGCTTGCAATTAGCATCGTCCGTATCAGGTGTGAGAGCGTCACGGTAAATAAAACGCTGGCCAGCACTGCAGCCGATGCTTTTACATAAGGAGGCTCATTTCACAGTCAAAGCAAGCAAACGCCTTTGCCTACACCCCGTGCTAACCTCCACCCCGAAAAAAAGGAAGAAGAAAAAAGGAGACATTTGCATATCACAGACAAAGACAGCAGTTAACGCCAGTGACGGGCAAGAAGGCCTAATGGCTTGGCGGCGACACATGCCAAGCCTGAATATGACTGTCTGATGCTGGCTTCATGTCAGTGACAAAACAAGGTCTAGGAGATAGTCCCAAACACTGGCCCAAGCAGCACGAAAAACCTTCTCACACTCAACATGGGCCATATTCTAATACATGTCAGAGGCCTTGTCTTCCTAATGGATCGCCTGGATTGAGCCGCGGCGAGGATGGAGATGGGCTGGTGGGGGCACCTTGAGGGATAGCATGGTTCCAGCCTTCAATTACATCCCCCTCCTCCTCCCTCTGCTCCACCCCTGCCCCCCAGCTTTCTCTGCCGCTGCCAAACCCTTGGAGGAGCAAAAGAAGGAGGAGGAGAAGGAGAAGAGGGGCTCGGAGGCTTTGGACTCAGCCAGCGATGGGGAGAATGAAACACATCTGCGCCACCGAACGGCCCAAGCCATTTCCATGGTGAATTAACGGCCGTATAATGCATCTGATAATATCAATCTGGAGGATAAGACATTGAAAAGGGGAACGGGGAGGGATGGTGGAGGGGGTGGAGAGGGGTGGGGGGGCGTACTAAAACCTCGGGCTGTTTCAACAAGGGTTTTCATCAGGCAGGAGCAAGACGGGGATTTAAATTGCCTAGAAGATGCAGCACTAAGTTTTCATGAAGACTGTTTACACTCGAGTGGGCAAAATACATTGCCGGACGTTATTTATGATGTACAGGGGTGGCTGTGGTCGTTAAAATCAGTCAAGTGTCCAGATGTAGCTGTAACTATAGAGCGGGGAAGAAGGCATCAGCTGCTAGATTGGATTGCCCTTGGCCTCGGGGTTACACAGCAAAGCCAGCAAATGCTGAACCACGCTGGGTTGGCTCCTTAAAGACCCCGTCTACTTTGTCTGATTCAGTAAGAGAGAGGGAGAGGGAGAGAGTTAGTTGTATACGCAGCGAGGGTCTTGTGGGGGAAACCCTGGCAGACTGGTGTTACTCTGTCAGGCCTGGCCAAAAGAGCAGCACTTCACTTTCCACACCACACCATCTGCTCCAAGTGGAGGGGATACAATGGATCCTCAGACAGAGCGAGGGAGAGGCAGAGACACAGCAAAAAGAGAGCTCTTTTTCAATAAGGCAAGGTGGGATTTGTTTGCTGCGAAAGCTGCGCACTTACACTTAGATTAATTTGTTTTTGCTTTTTCAATTAGGATTAGCATCGCTTTCGCCCCTTATCATTGAAATTAAAAATTATTTTAAGACAAAGACGTTGAGGTTTTACCTCTCCAGCCATAAACACAATATCACCTCCCTTCAGCCACCAATTAAAAAGCTTCATATTTCCTAATGAGACATTTTCATCTCCAATTCACTCACAGCTTGCAAATGTAATTGTGATTGGACTTAGGGGTGGCGTGCAAGGCTATTATTTTGTCATGATGGTGCACTCATACCAGCTGGCCCACTGTTCGCCTGCCACATCTGACAAGACATCATCATTCTCACAACACTTCCCCAAAGCCCAAAGTCATGAGAGGAAAATAGCTGCTCCACTTCCTAATTCCAGGTGTAAGGACAAGAAAATTTGGAGTCGGACTGTGAACAAATGAGGAAATTGATAGCGGCCATCTGCTCCACAATGCTGCCGAGAGCTGGTGAACTTGAACACACCTCGCAAAATGTCTGACAAGCTGTCTCTGACTTCTGAAGCGCAGGAAGAAAAAAAAAAAAGCTGCAGGAATACCTAAAATTCTATACAAATAGAACAAAAAAAAAAAAATAGAATCAACATTGTACAAAACTGTATTTTGTAAATGCCAAACTTTTGTTCCTAAACCTGCGGAATAAATTGTGGAAATGGAAAATAAAAGATGAAACGGACCAGCACATGTGGACATGTTGTTCCGTCTATTCTTTCCATTTAGGGGAGTACATCTGCTAATGCCCTGAATTTATAAATGCTACAATGAAAGCCACAGCATCTGGCATATGTGGTTATTGTTTGATTGTTTTCTACTTTCTCTCAGTCTCTGTATGTTTCTCTCTCCCTTTTCTCTTTTCATCCCTCCATCGGGAGCCTGTAGAAGCAAAGGATTATGGATCTCTGGAAAGCGTTCACCCTTGGGTCAGAAGACAAGACAAGGCGAGGTAATGAAAGATAAACAGCTCGCTGCAAACACCTGTTAACGTCCGCTTCAAAGAAAAGACAGAGAGGAGGGGGGTTTGCAGGGAGGGAAAACAAAAAAAGAAGTATTTGGCTGCCAAGCAACAGCCGAAGGGCCCCCCGGGCTGTTGACAGATCTTTATGAAATGAAAAAAAGAGAAAAGAAACGACAATGATTGTGGGCTTTTTACAACAGCGATGGATGATAAGAGGAACACAAGAGAAAACACAAGCAATCATAAATATACATCTTTCCCGAGTCCTCAGGCAAACCTTTTGTGACATGCACACACAAAAAGACACACACACACACACACACACACCCATGGAAAAGGCTTGGCACTCAGGTGCACACAATAGCAAAAACAAGCGATCCAAATTGTTAAGTATACATATTCACTCGACTAATAAATCCACAGCAGGTATAAAGACGTAGGATTAATTTCTTATGAATGTTAATGGCTTGAAGACAAAGCTTCCTCAGGACAGCCGGAGTGACACAAATCAAACTTTCATAAGGATTGAGGGACTACTTAGGGACTAAGGAGGTATAGGGGAAACAGAGAAGGGACTGAATGTATCTGTTTAAGCTATTAGTCCCGAGTCCCCGGGGGATTCAATTTGAGCCTCCCATAGGGGATAGCCTCTTTATCCGCAGGGCACGATTGGGGCACACTGGGGTTAAACTATAAGGCAGGGCTATATAACACCATTGTGTGCCAAGTTTCAGGATGCTATCTCCCTCCTCGTTCTTTCAGCCCATTTTTTTTCTATAAAAAAGAATTGGGGCAGTAAATGTCGTGGGGACCTAATCTTCGCGAGTAAGTGATATGCGACAAGAAAGCTTTTAAAGCACTTAGGTTTGAAGATGGAAGAAAAGGCTGCACGGTGCTGTGAGAAGGAAGAGGTATGAGTGTAAAAATAAATACAACAATACAGTACAATGGAGAGGAGAACAGCAGTGGGAGGAAAAGTGATTCATCAACAATTTCTCAGTTTCTTAGGCTACTTTCAAACGGACTCAAAAAGATTTGATTTTTAACTCTTTGTGGCTCAGATGCAATGTTTCGCACCTGTCTCTACGGGGAGTTACCACCTGAAATCAGATTTTTCTTGGTATACGCAGGCATGAGCTGGTCTGAGCTGGACTGTGCATTGTTTAAACATCAGTGCAGACGTATTTACTACGGTACAGTACACATTTGCTTTTATCGCCTTTCATGCCCATCGGAACACACACACACACACCCCCCCTTTTTTTTTTTTTTTTTTTAAAGGATACATTGCTGCCTGAGTAGGGCGAGATGTCGGCCATGTCCTGGAGATCGCTGCACTCAGACTTGATGAGGGACAGGGAGAGCCCCTCGGCTGTGCTGCCTGGGTGTGCTGGTGAACAAGAGCGGTGGTGATGCGTCAGGTGGTGACCCGATGCCATCTTGGTCCTCAAGCTGGTGGTCTCCCGGGACAGGTCCATGGAGTCAGGCGAGGAACGATCCTTGCCTGTGTAACCACCTGTGGGCGCACCGAGGGGACTCTGGAAAGGATAGCCCATGAGAGGCAGTGGAAAGGGGTGTCTAAAGGATGGGGGGCTGAAGCCCATAGAAGCAGAGAGTGAGGAGGGGTGAAGGGCGGGGTGGTGGTGACCACCATGGGCACCCACAGCTGAGGACTGGTGGTGGTGCTCGCTGGGCGTCTTCCTCACTACTAACGGCAGTGCCTCGGTTTGGTCATTGGTGGTGCCGGGGATCCCGGGCATGCTGGCAAAGGAGTCTAGTGGATTGGGAATGATGACATCGCCGAAGCACTGCAGCCTCTGGTTGGCGGTGTGGAAGTTGGGGTTGTCTCCATTGACAGCGGTTGGAAATCTCTCAGGAGGTATGGAAAGAGGAGGAAAGGCCTGCTGAGGTGTAGGGCGTGGAGGCTTGGCAAACACCTTCACCACTGTGTCCACCACCTGGGTCATGGCTGAATTGAGTTCCTGCTTCAGTGTTTCTGCCAGCTGTTTACCTTCAGCATGCATGGAGGAGCCTGGACCTCCCTGTCCTTTGCTCCGACCAAGCCCCTCTCTTCTTGGCTTCTCTCCGTCGGCCAGCAGGGCCTGCTCATGAAGCAGTGCCCGCGCCCTGTCCAGGAAATGGCCTGGGTCCAGGTCAGACATCTCATTGTCGGAGCGCAAGTCATCTCCACCCCGGTCATCGCCTCCTGTGTCAGACCTGGCAGGGCTGTCCTCTGACATGTTTCCCAGGTCGTTGTGGAGGTCATTGTGTTCTGAGTCATCGGTTGAGTCGTAGATCTGAAAGAACTTCTCCTGCAGCTGCCGTAGCTGTTTCTGCATGTCCTCCAGCTGCAGCTTCAGTTGCCGTCGCTCCTCCTGCTTCTGCTCCTTTCTCTGGCACACCAGCTGGGTGAAGCTCTGCTGCTGCTGCTGAGGCAGACGCTGTTTTCGCTTGTTTTCTCTGCTGTTGCTGCTGCACACCTCGCCTCCCCGTGGGCTGCTGGGGGCCTGCTGCTGAGATTGAGGAGGTGCGCAGTCCAGCTCCATCTCCCGCTCTCCATCCATCTCATGGTCACGCTCGTGACGGGAAGCAGCAGGTACCACCACACTGGGCGAGTGGCTCATACCACGTATAATGTTCTCCACACGGGCTCGCTTGGCACGCAGGTGTTCATCATTGAGACGTTCGATGTCAAAGGTGGCCAGGCCAGGAGGACGGCCAAATGGTGACAAGCACTCTTGAGGGGTGCTGTCTTGGGAGGAGTTACTGCACGCATCCTCTTGGGGTGCGTCTGAACTTGCATTGGAGAGCCCTGAACCAGGGAAGCCTGATTCCCCTCTATCACCCCTGTCCCCTCTTTCTCCTCTCTCGGGACCTCCTCCATTTTTAGCAATGTTATTCTTGAGAAGCTGAGAGATAATGGTGGTGCCAGGGAAGGGCATCATGGTGTCCTCGTATGAGTTGGCCCTCTTCAGAAGCTTTCGGAGTACATTGGACTTGGACTCACTATCACTGGCTGATACAACGCCAGGCCCACCATGTGGCTGCACTACAGAGCACTCCATGGAGTCGGTGTCTGATCCGTGGTGAGAATGGGAGCTCAGAGAGTTCATGGCACTGAAAATGGCTGCTTTGGCGCGAGCAATGTTATCAGTGGTTGCTGCTGTGGCTGCTGCTGTGGAGGAGGCTGTGCTGCCCACGGTCCTCTTAACACCAATGTCCACACGTCTTCGCTTGGTCTGTCTGTTCAGGAGGGAGTCGCTGTCATGGTCCGGCATCACGGGCTGCTGCTATTGGGCCATATCCCACAAACCCAGTCCTCTAGGATCAAAGCCTCCGAGTACCTGCGGGGAGAAAAAAATTCACAGATGCATGACTCACCAAAGTGGAAAATATTTTCAGAATCTTACTCAATCACTCTCTCTCCGGCACCACTTCAATATCAGAACCAAATCTACGTCAAACAGAGAAGCTTGACAGTCGTTGAGCAAAAAAACCTGTCAGCCTCTAGAAAATTGCATTAGCTGATATTAAACTTGAGATTTTTATCTACAGCCAGCCGCCCATCGCTCCTCGCATGTTCCTACAAGGACGGTGACATCCGTGATTACATTTAAGCAGTAAGGACCAGTGACAGAGGGGTAAAGGAAACAGACGAGATCGGGTCAGAATTAGGCCTTGGCTCGACATTCCAGGGCAAAGTCCTACATTTTATCCTGTCCCCTGTTACATGCCGCGCGACACTGAACCAGTTCCCACGGAACACAAAGCTGCATAAAATTATGATAATTACTTAAGTACTTGTCCTCATTTCCATGATTGTGCAGCGTGAGCCAACATAGGAGCCAAGAGCTCACAACATCAAATAAAAAGAAATAGGGTTAAGATTATCTTTAAAAAAAAAAAAAAAAAAAAGGCATAACGGGGAGGCGATGTACATGTTACACGTCATTACACACTCTTTACTAAATCTGGTTCAGTAAGTGGGCTCGGTCGATGTCACAACATATTTTAAAATATTTTATGCCGTGTTTACACATTGTGTAATTTTAAAACACGAGTCCTGTGCTCACATTAATCAATATGGCCATCATATCTTTCTCAATGGGGAGAGTGACACAAAAAAAGAAACACAAAATAGGCCTATTGATTTTGGTGCCAGCGTGAGCTCACTTCTGTGTTTTTTGTTTGTCTTTTCATCTGGCAAGGGCAGTTAATTCTGCTCAAATGAATAGGTCGCAAGGGTCAACTCTGGCAAGGAGCAACTTAAAGCGCTCTTACAAAAACCCTAATGCCCCTCTGAAAGCAAAACGTTTTGTCAGTACAGGGCTGCATCAGTAATGCTATGTAAGCAGCGGTGGCGGTGTCTCAGTCGAAGCCATGAATCCAATCCCAAATGTAGAGATATTTATCAGAAACTATGTAATGTGTCTTTCTCTGTTTTAAAATATTTATGAGGTTTGTAAATATTCAAATTTAGTGTTTTCTTCGTAGCATAAAAGTGGCAGAAGCAGTGCGACAAATTACATTTTTTCTTTTTACACTCCTCAGAAAAAGACTCACAGTGGCTCCGTCAAAAATAGAAATACGAGGAAAACTTGACTTAAATATACCAGGTGGCAAATATACTCTAATGGGATTCAGGCTGACTTTTAGATTAATTTGGAAAGAAGCAATAAAAATAAATTTAAACACACGAATATCTCACGACAGATTCTGATCTATGTTTAGTTTTCATGTGATATTCAACGACGAGAAGAAACGTAACCCCTGGGAGACTGAACACTAATTATTTGCGTGTCCGATCCAAGAGAAACTGTGTCGTCTTTACATTCTCACTGCATGTGAAAAGCCTTTTTTAAAGACTTGTCACTGAGCCTCACACATTCACACTGTACACACACACACACACACACACACACACAGAACTTTGCTGTTGGCTTCCTTGCAAACTGCAGTGTGATGCACCACACAAGTGACATGCATTGGCTGGTTATTTGCTCAAGAAAAAAATTAATTTCATGAAACTGTAAAAGTCCCAGATTTCTTGGAAGAACAGCTGCAAGATTCTGGTTCTCTAAAAAAAAAAAACCTTCCTGTTGAATTACCAGCAGTATTTTAAAAAAAAAAAAATAAAACCCCTCTGATAAATGACATTTGGCTCAAGTCCTGATATCCAGCAGGTCAAACAAGAAGTGATACATCTACCCAAAAAAAAAGCATTAAAAAGAAACTTGCCTCAGGATCTTAACAATGAGCTTGAAATAGTCACCAGCACCTGTCTTTTCCGACGGCGCACCTGTCCTCTATTGCCCATGCGCACTCTCACTTTCTCTCTCTCTTTCTCTCCCTCTCTCATAAAAAAAAACTATTTCAAGCAACTATCAAACACACATGAAGACATTCACTGCAACTTTTACACTCCCTTTATTTGTCAAAGAACCCTTCCTCCTCACTTGAACCCATATATTCTTATTTTAAACCCTCACCTCAACCTTTAAACCCCTCTGATGATAAGAAGAAGTGAAAAATCGGTGCGTAAAGAGCAGCTCGGCCAAAATGAGCATAACTTTTAGAAGTTTGACCGAAACTCCAACAACATTTGCGGTACAGCTGACATCTGGGGGGTTTCTTTGGTTGAAAATACTGAGCTACCCAAACTTATGAAAGCAGAGCCGCAGCGCTTCTTTCTCACATCTGTTCCAAAGTGCAACCGCAGATGAGAGAAACCAAATGCGGGAACCAGAAACACAAAAAAAAAAAAAAAAGAAACAGCTTCGTAATCGCCGTAGAAGGATTTTTATGTGCGTAAAAGGCATTAAAACAGGATTTTAACCCACAGGACAAAGGCAATGCGAGGTCACAGCTCTCAACAAGCGCACAGGAGAACCAAAGACAAGTGAATCCAAGTTTATGGCTAAAATCAACTCACGTCAAACATCCCGGAGTTTAAAAAAAGAGAGGAAACAAGGAAAGAGAAAGGAAAAAAACACGCTTCTCAAACTTACTCCGTAAAGTTGCAAATCAACTTGATGTGCGCTTTGATGAGGAAGGCTGGGCTACCGTTCGCAAATCATCCTCGCCAAAAAACACACACACACTCACACCACACACACTCAGGCAGCACACACACACGGGCTGCTCACGCAACTCTCACCACAGACCAAGATGAGCGAACGAAACGGGAGACAAATAAGAGTCGTATCGAAATGATTAGCTGTTGATTACCTGAATAAATTTGCCCGTTAATGATGTTTGATTTGTTTTTCTGTTTTGGGTTGTTTTTTTTTTTAACTCCCCAAACCGCCCACCGTGCGCAGGCGAGGCAGAGCAAGAACAAGAGAGGGAGGTATCCGAGGACAAGGTTACTTACCCTTTAGATGAAGAGGGGGACAACCTGAACTCCTACGGATAAAAAAAAAAGGAAGAAGAAGAAGAGAATCTACGCAGGGCACCGCCGGATTTGCTGGGATATAACAAATTTCTCAGAGGAGCTGGAATAAAGTCAGCGACGCGAACGAAAGGAACAAAACGGGGAGAATATAGAAGATGAAAAGAGCTCCTGCGCGTCGGTCTCTCCCTCTATCCTCTGCTGTGACTACAAGAGTGAGAGACATAGAGAGAGTGCGAGAGAAGAGGGAGAGAGAGAGAGAAAGAGAGAGAGAGAGACTGTGCGTCTGTGCGTCTCCGAGGCGCACTGGATGCAGAGGACTGGATGCTGGAGCGCTTCTCCGCCACTAAGATTCACTTTAAGACGCGGCTGAAGGAAACAGGAAGACGTGCGCGTCATGAGCGGCGTGATGTAACTGTCGCAACCTACCAATAAGAAGCGTCCGTGCGGGCCGGAGAACAACGCACTGAACTTGACCAGAGAATGGGACTTGAGCATGCAGGCAAAGAGAGAGAGAGAGAGAGAGAGAAAGAGAGAGAGAAAGAGAGAGAGGGGAGGAAAAAAAAAGGAAATACCACTCTTACTAATCTCTTTCTTCCCAAATCAGCGACTACGCGAGTAAGATTCGTTCCGCACTTTGACATTACACTCCTTAGCAGCAAGAAAACACACAAAAAGACGCACATGATTGTGTTTTTTATTCTCATATTTCAGCTTTAAAATAAGAAGTGTGTTGATAAAGTGACTTTGATCCCAGGAGATTTCCAATAAAGTGTCACTGCACCTCGAATTAAAGTCTGAATTGGAATAATTTCACAGAGATAAATGTGAAGAAAATGAATAAAAGAAACTTGAGTGCAAATTTAAGGAACAATTATGTTTTCAGCATAAGTGGAACACTGAACAAATTCCAAAGATATTTAATTTTACGTCGCTTTTACGCAAATGCAGCAGCCTTGTCTAAAACTAGAAACCAGACAATCCAAGTGACTTTTTCATGTTTCGATCATGTTCGAGACTTTATTAAAACGCTCCTTCAAGCACAGTCATTTTTAATCATTACCAACTTTGTAACTCGATCGTTCTGCGTGTTTAAAGGTGCAGATTTAAATGCTAAACGTCCTACGTGCGGCTCTTCTCTGTGCTGTGGGTGCAAAGTGACATGTAAAGATATTTCAGAGTTTTCTCATTGGTTTGCGGCAAAGTCTGATTAATGAGCGAGCAGAGCAGCACAGAAGGGCTTACAGCTTTGCTTTGGAATTCAGATTATCCAGAGAAGCCAATATCTGAGGAGCGCTAAACGTCTCTTTTGTGAAATGCTCAGTTTAGAGCCGAATGTCATCATGAAACGTCTGTCAGTCGGATCCGCAGCCTGCTGCCACTGACGCGTCCCCCCCGTGCGTAAAGGCAGCTCTGTCACCAAAAACTAAAAAAATGTTTATGACCAGTAAAACTGATGGAAACCCCCAAATTAATTAGAAATAAAAAATCCACCTGTGTGTTTAAAGAGCAGAAGATTTTGAGGGCATCATTAGATTTGTCGTCTCTTCCCCACCTGTAACACTGAACCCTGCGGACGGTGACATTTGAGCCACAGAAAAACCTGTTTGACGCTTTTGATTTATGAAATGATGACGGCTGCTTTTTCCCCTTCATGCTTCTGCATTTTGACAAATTGGATACTTATAATTACAATGAAGGAGTTTTTTTTTCTTTTCTTTTTTGCGCTCAGCCAAACGAAATGTTTTAGACATTTACAACAGGTGATATTTAGAAAACTGATTTTATCAGGTAAATGCGGATTTTTTTGTGTGCAATTTAAAGTCATCTTTACGCAGGAAAATTATGTTTAAATCGACGCTTCGTGGGTTTTCAGCTCGTGTTTGTGCGTTTAGAGAAAACTAAGCCTCGGATTAAGCATGGAGGAGAAATGTGTGTTTGACAAGAAACGCACACAAACATCTAGTTTTAATATTTTTATTGTTAGAATAATTACTGCTGTGATAAGAGATAAATCGGAATTAGGTTTTCGATGCGTAAATTTGTTGAAATCATTCGAGAAAAGTTTTATTGCTCTATTTTCATCCGATGCTTTTTTATTTTTATTTCCAGCTTTTATTTTTTTCCCCCTATGGATTCATTTGTTGCTTCTCTCTCTCTCTCTTTTTTTTTATCCCTTTCTTTTTTTACATTCTCTGCACAAACAGGATCCCAAAGTACTTAACTAGAAATCTTATTTTCCATATGCAACCCCCCTCCTCCTCCGTGCGTCAGGTGCCAAAAAGGAAAAGGCGAGTCTCTTTTCCATGTCGCAAGCAAGTGTTTTTTAGGACCAACGAATTGCAACGAAGTCAGCAAAAGTTTTTTCGTGTCTGGAGTGGCTTTTCCAAAGCAGGTGTCCCGGCCTCCTCCCCTCCTCTCCCGTCGCTCCCTGTAACTGGCCTGTGGCTGATTTGGCCTTCGGCTCCCCTGGGTGCCCCGTCGGTGCGCACACAGGCTGGAAAAACAGGCCGGGAACATTAAAGAAGCGCGTGTTTGGGAAAGGAAGACTCGGATGAGGTGTAGAGGAAACGTGCTGGTTAACACTGGCTGCTCTTATCGCGGCCCGGGTCCAGGTGGATCAACCCGGGGATTTATTTCACTTTCCTCCCCACCCCACCTCACCCCACCCCCCCTTTCTCTCTCTTTCGACACACCTCGATGCCCAAGACTGATAAAGCGCTCTGACATTGCGCGCTGATGGCTGAATTTATTGACATATTTATTAGAGCTGTGCCCAAACGCAGAAGGAGGGAGGCGGTGAAAACAATATTTCTCCCAGAGGTGTTATAAAGGTGCATTTTTATCTCATTGTGAGGGGTAATAAGTGCGCGCACGCGGTGGTGGTATGTCGGTGGTGGACGTGAGCCAGTGTGCTTTTCCTCAAGATTAATTTGGATCAACGACGGGTCAACTGTATTCCATTATTATTATTATTAT